AATTTTTTCTTATAAACAGTTACATTTATCATACTTCATATTTGAGAATTATTAGTTTAGAATTTGTAATGTATTTTATAGCTATGTGGATATTTTAAATCGGCAACCAAAACTTGTTGTTGTATCCATCCATTTCATGCACTCGTATATACCTACATAGCCATCCATTTTTTTGCACTGATAAGTATATATCAATTTCATGTGCTAGTGTAAAGTGTTGGATAATCTGTTGTATTTGTTGTAATGTCATTGTGCCTGGCTCTTTGTTTGTTTTCAGTCTCATTGGCACATTATAACTTGAGTAGCTAATCATACACAGTCATTCCATACATCTACATATTGCTACCTGTAACCCTATGTACTGCTGTAGCTATCTATTTCCTGGTCCCCTTAATATAGCTGGTCACATCCTACTCAGTATCACAACTCTCGTTGATCATTTTCTGTACACCAATGAACACCTTTGTACAACCAAATCCATATTGTACCATGGTCTATCAAAATTCCTATTCCTACCCTTCAGCTGAATCCATTATAAGAACAATTCTTCTTCGGCAGGTTTGTAATAATATAATGGCTTCCTTGTTAGTGATATAATGGGAGCGACCTACCAGCTGCAGTATCTGTTTTTGCAGGTACTGTACAGTAGTCACATAATTTTAAAAAAATGAAAATTAGTGGCCAATGGTTTATCTGATACAGTATTACCAAAATTATAGACATGCAGAATATGTAAGAAAAGTCACAAACATGTGATTCAGTTATATAGAATGAATTACAGTACATGGAAAGCTAAAAGATAATTTCCAACACATCTATGTTCAATATTTAACACATTGTAAAGGAATTAAATTCTCTGCAAATACCATATTAAATTTAAGTGCTTGGAATTAGCATTTCTTGTAACATTTTTTTCACATGTTCTATTGTATTAGAGAATACATTCTCTATTTTTTACTATGTGATTTTGGATCCAACTGAGCACTTAATTAATCTTGCTTCTTTGCCTTTCCAAGACCCTTCTGTGAAAAGAGAAGCCTACGTAGTTTGGTGGCTGGCCAGTTTTTTTGTTTTTCTTAGTGCTCATGTCCACTAATGATCATCTTTCCCAAATCATTTGATTTCACTAAAATTACATAACATCCTGTCACCACAGCTTCAATAAATGCATGTAATGTGTCTGTCGTGGCTTCTACCATCAGCTGCCTCAACAGAAACATGTGATGAATTTTGAGCAGAAAATACAGCTTACAGAGAAGTTGAATCTGACATTCCTAAGAGTGATGTGTGTGTTAAATGTAAACTGAGCAAAACCATTTTTTTTCAGGCTCAAGATAAGATTATTGCCTGTTATGATAAGAGTGAGTGTAATGTAACAATGCAGAAAAGGAAAGTACTGTATTCAGAAATGTTAAAAGTATTAGATTCATTTTGCAAATGATGCAGTCTTAGACAAGACAAAACGCTAAAGGAACAATCTGTGGTTTCGATCATTTATAAGCAGTGTTTGTATGGTAAATTAATGGGTGACTAATGCACTTTAAGCTTCACAGTGGTATGGAGCTTATGGAAATATGTGGGGAAAATCAGGGTACAAGATAAACAAAGGCTAACTGTCCTTTGCTCTGCCAATACAAGTGGTATGCATAAATGCAAATTTGAAAAAAAAAGTATGCTGCCTTCATTCAGCTTGTGTGCACCCATCTCCACTACTGTATACAAGCATGGAGATCTCACCATCAAAAAAAAAAAAAAATAACTGTACTAGAATTTGTTCAGTGCAGAACAACAATAGTCATCACATAACTAAGTCAACTCTTGTGCCAGAAAAGGTTGAGGGCGTCAAGACTAACAACTCGGCCAACAAGATATTAATTAAGACATTAATCCAGACCACTTCTTTATAAGTTACACTGTAACACACAAAGGGGGTAGCAATTTTAAGATCAGTAAGCCACACTGTAGGACTGACAACAACAGATGATTTTTCACCATTGGATAGTAAACTCATGGAATCACTTACCCATTGAAGACTGTTTTGTCACATAGTGCTTTGAAACTGTTGACGGTTTTGACCTCCACCACCTTATGTAACATAACTCACGCCTACATACAGAACATTCCTTCCTCTGCGCAATACATGCCTTATAAATGTCCATCCAGAACTACGGTATCCTCCCGATTTTTATGTCTGATAATTTGCACTCTTCATTTAAATGTTAATATATCTAATGTTTACTAACCTAGAGCTTTCAAAGTCGCAGCCAAACTAGCCAAGAGCTTTAGTTATACAGTGCTACACTTCATATAGAAAACTGTAAGAAACAAGCTGGCTGTCCCCTATGTAAGCCAAATGGTAAATCATTTGATTACAAAATTTCTTTAATGATTCATATATGCTAACTTATTTTTGTATTAAGTCCATTAAACTTAACATAAATAAGTTATTTATTTACAAGTTATGCCCGACATGTTCTGGGCACTTGTGACTTTGAATAAATTACCTTGTGTACATACAAATACTCCACTATATCATGTTTCAAGTGTGCTTCATATAAATATTTATTACTATTATTAATGAGTGAGTTTTACTTACGACGCAATACTGCATTAGAAATTTATTTTGTCTGGGCTGGCTGCCCCAGTAGCCCAACAGAGCTTTAGGTAGTGACACCACAGGGCCAACCCCCTGAACCACTCACAAGCAAGGCCAACACAGGTATAGTAAAGATCAACCAACAGCAAAAGTACACTGCTCAGAAAGTCAAACAGGAAGCAAAACTTTCAACAACTTATGAGTACAGTTGGCTTCGTTCTTGACTCGGTCAGAAATCCTGGGTTCAATTCTCGGGTTTGTTTGTATTAATATCGGGCATGAGGTGCACACAGGGGCGAGGTGCCAGAGGAGCTCTAGACCGTGGCTGCCTCTCACAGGGTGCCGGTTTCCTGTCCTCATTAAGGCCAATAGAGAGATAGTGTCCCTCTGGTAAAGTCATGTAATTCAGGTAAACTGTAGATCAGTACAGGGTGTACATTTTCACATATACAAGATATGATTAGTGGTAGTAGAAAAGTGAAGATCAAAAATTAAGAAAGAAAATAGAGATCAAGGATTAATAAGAGCATGTGAAGGGGTTTTATAGAGCTAGTGTGATGAAGCTGGTGGTATTAAGTAACATATATGACCAGGGACACAAGTATTACTGAGAAAGGATAATCATACCTCCATCGTAGTTTTCCTTTGGAGTGTTATCATTTTATGTGATAAAATATGTGTAAAAATATTCAAACTAAATTTAAATAAAATATGTTGTTTTGGTGCAGTGAAAATTTATTAATTTTAGAAATAAGTTTTGGTATAAATGCCACAAAATGCTTTTACAAATTTGTGACTCTACTTATGAAAAGCTAATTTTGTATATGTGGGGTGTTTTATCCATTGAAATACAATGACATCACAATAATGTGATGTGTTTTTATCAGGGAAAATGCAGGGACCCTTGACAAGCCTTTGGCTTCCTGTCCCTGCTGAAGCCACTTGAGAGATGGTGACCCTTGGGTAAATTCAGGTAAAATATGTGAGAAATTATCCATCAAGAAGTCCAAGGATGCAAGTTTGATCCCATCGTATTGCCACAATCTTTTCTCGTCCATTGAGGTGTTTACAGTGTTGTGTGTTACAGTAATATGTAAAATAAAGGCTGACCCATCCAAAGTGAGCAGATTTAACTTTGAAAAGATGTTGCCATTTCCAAATGCCTTTGTCCTTTCAGATTGCTTCAAAATATTTCAGCTTACAATGATCTTTCCTTTATTGTATACAGAATTTTACTATGTATTGACTTGTATAAGAGGCACAACGAATAAGTAAATATTAATAATTATACAGTAATTCTATTTATAAAATACAGTATACATAATATGTTACAGCGGCTAATTAGTAGGTACAGATTGTGTATAATGTATAAAGACATTAATCACAAAGCATTATAGGCATTCATGTATCGCCTTTTGACACAAGGCCTCTAACTCAACTGTTTAAGAGTATTTATCAGCAGGGCCATCTTACCACATGGGCCCGATGGGCATTTTCCCGGGGTCCCCATGAGCATAGGAACATGTTCATTATGGACGCAGATTCTTTAAATATTTAGGGCTTGTTGCGAGCACACTTATATAATACCTATATAACCCTACATCCTGGTGTGGGACTAAAAACTAAATATTTAAGATATATATTTCCAGGTGAATAACCCTTTCAGCAGAAATAAAATGTAATGTTTTGAATGGAGCACAGAAGAGAAAGAGAGCTACAGGGAAGGAGAAAATAGGAAACTTCCAAAATTTACATCGTGACTCAACACAGGTGCAACAACAGCCACTCATACCATTCCTTCATACATAGCATCCACATCAGCATCTATTCCTGCAATGTCAGCCACCAGTACTGTTCCTTCAGATATAGCATCCACATCTACTTCCATTCCTGCTACCAATCATCCAGTTTCAGCAGACATACCGTCATTGCCTGTTGCCGCTGCTGGTGACATTTTACAAGAGGAAATACCCATATCTGTAACAGTAAAAAAGTTTGCAATCCAAGGGACAGATCCGGGGCTATGGAACGTTAATGATACTAACACATTAGATTACTGGATTTGTAGTGGGCCCTCATCATGTCAGAATCATGATAGCAACCTTTCAAACTCACAGTATGTATAAAATAGCTGGAGTTGAGAATATGAAGACAAGGTATTTATCAAACAATGTGTTCAAACGTGAAATGCAGAATGACGAATATGTAAAACGTGAATGGCTACTCTGTTCACCATCCCAAGATCGTTTGCACTGCCTTGTATGTCGCCTATTATCCATGAAAGAATCTCCTTTTGCTACATTGGATTTCAATTATTGGAATCACAGCATGGTTATTGTAGAACATAATTTGGAGAAGAACATAAAAAGTGCATGACAGCATATTTGATGAGGCATAAAGAAACTGGAAGTGTAGATTCTTTATTAATTGAGCAACATCGCACCGAGCAGGAATATTGACATAAAGTGTTGACACATGTGGTTTCTGTAATTCACTTTCTTGCCTCTAGAGGTTTGCCAGTTCCAGGAGAAAATCAGATTATTGGGTCAGCAAAAAATGGCAACTATTTAGGCATACTAGAGCTTCTAAGTGAGTTTTACCCTTTCTTGGAAGAACATCTCAAAATGTATGAAAATCCTGGAAAAAGTAATCCATCATATTTATCTGCAAATATTTATTAAATTAATTTATTGAGTAATTTATTGAATTAATGGGACAACAGGTTCTTTGTACTATTCTTGAAGAAGTAAAAAAAGAGTCAAAGTATTATTCACTAAGTGTAGATTCCACTCCAGACATCTCATACAGATCAGTTTACATTTACTGTCCGACACATAAAGGCTGTGAGCCTGTGGAACGTTTCTTAATGTTCATCCCCATCTTTTCTCATAGAGCAAAGGATCTAACAGACACTGTCGTGGATCTTCTTAATGAGAACAAAATTCCACTATCAAACTGTCGTGGTCAGTCATACGATAATGCCTCAAATATGTCTAGACAATATACTGGATTGCAAGCACAGATTCATCAAATCAATGAGTTTGCATCTATGTCTCCTGTGATGGACACAGCCTGAACTTAGTGGGGGTAAAAGCAGCAGAGTGTTGTCTACAGACTATCAAATTCTTTGGCTTTGGTCAGCATCTGTATTCTTTTTTTGCTGGTTCTACTCATTGCTGGAATGTACTGTCATCATCTTTAGCATCTAGAATATCCCCCAGTACCACTACACATTTTAAAACAAACTAACATGCAAAAACTACGAGTAGTGCAAAATACGGCATCAAGAAGAGCAGCAGACCACCGTCCACCAGGATGGTGGTCCGAGTTTGCTATAGTTTATTAAATTGAGTAGTATTTTTAGCTTCTTGAATTACTCAGCAGCTGTACATATTCCATGGGTAAATACCGAAGTGTAGTTACAGGATGAGAGCTATACTGATAGTGCCCCATTTTCCCGATAATCTTTGTCATGTGACACTTTGAAACTACTGACAGTTTTGGCCTCCACTTTCTTAATTGTTAATTTTATTTCTCACTTAATTGTTCCAACTGTCTACCACTCTGTGTGCAAAAGAAAACCAGAAAGTTTTGTCGGTAGCTTTGTTTCCTTTGTGTGCAATTAATTCTGCCAATTTTATTCTGCAAAAAACTTACACTGAAACAATTCTGTGTTAGTATTGTTTGTATTTTCATGCTTAAAATAATTAATTGTGGAAGCAGAAAACGAAGAGCATCTTAATGATCACATATTCTATGAATTTAAATCCTTAATTATAAATTTTGGATGAATATTAACAAAAATTAATCTGCATATAATTTGGAGAGTTATTGAACACAAAAGGTATTGTATGATTGTTTACAGGTTTTGTAACTGATACCAATGTATCTGTCCATTGTCTGTACTGTATGAAGGTTTCCAAATCATTGCAGCTTTGTGTCAAATGAAGTTCATCCAATTAAATTAATCTACTGTAGTTGAACAAGGTCCTGTCATTATTTTTGTATGCAAGTACAGTATAATGGTTTTGAGTAAACAATTAGAAGATACCCTTTTAGCCTAGGAACCAATGAACACTAAACTTGGCATAAATCATTCAAATATATTATAAAAACAGATATTGACAGCAGTCACACGTCACTTGAGTAACATTGGACAAGAACAACATTTTTTTACATTAGTCCAACGCTACTCCCATATTATGTTGTGCTAATTAGGTACTACTGTATCAAGATTTTTCTCTTGCCTTCTTTGTAGCACTGGAGCACATTAAGAACAAAAGAGTAAAGGAAACTGCAGAAGAACTGTTGACCCATACAAGGCAGCTCCTATGTATATCCACCCAAACTCATTCATATGTATGTCAAACCCTGTTGCAGTCTGTAACATTTCATCCACCTCTAAACTTCCCTTTTATTACATATCTTTATATTTTTGTTCCAGTCTTATCTTTCCTTCTACTCTTGCCACTTACATATGCTTGCTGAGCCAGTCCTCATTCTTTCACATTTGTGAGTGCAAGCATGTGAAGACTGTTTTGGTTGTGTGATAACCAGACCAGTGCGTGGACGGTAGCAAATGCTTCAAGTGATTCTCTTAAACATCACTATCATGAGGCATTTTAAAGGTATGGGCTTAACTATATATCATGTTACATCATCGACGTTGGAGAGTTGTCATGCAGTTGCCCAGACTGTATTTGGCAATGCATCTAGATTCTTCTTGTCTGAAAATTAACACTTTAAGTAAACAAGAGAGAGACTTAATTACATAATGTTACACAGATAAAAATAGCCCACAAATTGCACAATAATCAAAAGTGAACAAGTACCCATAATAAATTGGTTAGTCTTATATTGCATATTTTTACGGTTAGTTATTACAGTAACTAGGTTATTTATTGGTACTAGTTATTACGGTTGTTTACGGTTAGTTATTACAGTAACTAGGTTATTTATTAGTACTAGTTATTACGGTTGTTTACGGTTAGTTATTACAGTAACTAGGTTATTTATTAGTACTAGTTATTATGGTTGTTTACGGTTAGTTATTACAGTAACTAGGTTATTTATTGGTACTAGTTATTACGGTTGTTTACGGTTAGTTATTACATATTTTTACGCAGATAAATATAGCCCACAAATTGCACAATAATCAAAAGTGAACAAGAACCCATAATAAATTGGTTAGTCTTCAGCCCCAGGAGTATTATTGATAAGTGCACCAATATTAGCTAGTGGATTAATATGCTGTTGGTTGAAGGCTAAAACAAATGATAGAGGCTGTAGTAACATTATTGCGACAACACTTGTAACAGAGAGTGAAAATGTTTGCCAGCCTTCCCTTGCAAGTGCTGGATTGTCATTAGTGTCTGTCTGGGGACATTGGTTGAACATTCTCTAGAAAGAAATGACAAACTCTTTCACCTCTGAAAACCATGCCAGTATCAATATTAGTGTCCATGCATCTTTCTCCAGATTAACTTAAGTGGTAAAGTGGGATTTAATGCCATGGCTTTGTCTACTGAATGCTCAGGATCATGACTCCTCAGTAAAGACAACCGTAAATTCAGTGCAAAATACCCATATTTTGTGGCAAGAACATCAACCTACTTTCCCTTCAAAACAGTCTGGCAATGGAGAGAAAACTAACCACAAAGCAAAGGCAGTGTGATGCAGATTGCTTTAACACAAGCTCTTTGATCAGCTACACTAGCCTCTGTGCTAACATCCACAAGAGCTCTCCTCTTACCTCATGCTAGAATTCGCAACATCTTCCCGGCTGGCATTTAGAATACAGTAGCTCTCTTGCTAGCATCCACATTAGCTCTCCTGCGAGCATTCAGAACAGCTTTCCTGCTAGCCCATGCTAGTTGTCTTTCCAAGTTGTCTGGCTGGTTCTGATAGTGGAACATGATGCCTGCTGAATGCCCACAGCTACCTGATGAGAGTGTTTCCCAGCTTCTCAACACTTGCGTGTGATATTACAAGGAAGTGTCAAGACCAACCAACACCCTGGAACTCTACATGGGTCCAGTTGAACTCTGGTTTTAGCTATCAGTTGGTAAGGACAGAAATTCCTAGAAGAAAGTAGAAATGAAGTTAACAAAATAGAGATATTTGTCCTTTCTTCTTAACCTAAAGCTTGTATTTACAAGTGCTGTTGAAGCAGTTGAGCTTTTTTATAGAGGTTAGAATGATTTAAAATTAAATATACATTGTTCACCACTATAGCACTTTTGACTACAAATACTGTACTATTTATGAAAATATGCATTGGAACAGTTACAATTATAAATCTTGCTTGCAAACATAAGTAAATTCTTAATTATCTCAGTGCTATGTCTTATACTTAATATTTTCTTATGTGGAGGGGGGCATTTGCAAGATCATTGTAGAATATTAGGAACTGATCTGAGATGCTAGGGCTGTCTGCTCTTATGAGGCTGTTGCAGTTGTCGCAAGAGTGACATGGTAAAGTTAGCTAGCTAGGTTTCAGTATTATGTTCTCAACATAGTTTCTTCAACATAGTTTCTTGTAGGAGTTGACTTGATTGGGCCTCATCTTCTTAAAAACTGTGAATTAGCTTGACCAAATTATAGATCTCTAAAATTCAATAATTTGTGTGTAATTTAGTAATGGGGAGTTTAATTTTGTTTAATTATTTTAGTGGTGTCTTATAAATGTAGTAAACAAGGAGCCATTATGTTCTTACTAACCCTGGTATCTAGATTTCAATGGGATGTGACAGGTAACCATGGCATTTAAATTTCAGTAGAGGGCTTTGACAAGTTAATATTTTTGTGAATACTGTAGTAGTGCAATACAGATACTGATATGTGCATATCTTGTGTTGCGTTGTTAAATAAAAATGTACCATACAGTCTATGTTTTCAATCAATTTTGATAGACTTGGTTGTGCATTTCTCCTTAACCCTTATTACGGGCTCACCATAGCCCGTGCTGCTTGGAACTGCTTGTTCCAAGTAGCGAATCTTTAACAACAACAACAACCTTAACCCTTCCTCTCTTCTCCCTTATACTGACTACTACACTTCAACTCTCCCTCCCTAACTCCTGCCCCCTTGACATTTTATACTGTTACTTCTTTATATAGAACTTTGATTAGGAATAGTTAGATAGGGATTTAGATTAGTTAGATTTCAGAAAGTTGATGGCACCATGAAGACAGGGGTTCAAAGCTGACAGCTACAGATGTTACAATGGCCCACTGCGGCTGACCCTACTCATCACCTACTACTCTCAAGCATGACCTGCTAATATTAAGTCTACTTTGCCTATGTAGCCCCCTTGTATAATAATAAACAAAAATCTTAAATTTAGGTTAATATAGACAATAAAGGCAAAAATAATGAACATTATGGCAATCTCAAATTTTCCCATGTTAAAGGCATACTTTATCTTATTTATACAGTAAATATGAAAGTCTTTCAAATATGTTTGTTACATTGAATTATAAGATTATTGCATGGTAATATAGCATTTTGCAGTAGATATCTTGCATGGTTGTTCAAAATTGCATTGCTTTAGGGTGTGACTAGGAGATGCTGCATCCCTTCTTGGCTTAGGGTTCCATTGTGCCACTTTTGGCATGAGCAGTGGTGTTTACCAGTTGACTGGTAAGCAGCAGATGACAGATCTCTGAGTCTATGTGTAGTGGCTGCAGCATCACCCATGCCTTCTCCTCCACTGGCACTTGACTCACCAATGTCTCTGCTGCAGGGAATCTCAACAATAAGTATGGAACACTCCCAGCAAGCACAAGAGGTTCAGAGCGGTCTCTTCCTGCCGCAACACTCCGTGATGAACGTGATCACAGCGGCTACTTTAGTGATCGTAATGACAGCTATGGGAGTCGACGGGATCTTTATGATCGTGGCTACATGAGTGATCATGAGCGTAGGTGCGTTTTTCCCACTTTTGTCTTTTCATACTTACTATGCTTACAAATGTTCTGGCATAGCAGTAGTGTGTATGAACTCTGTTTTTCTAAAGAATGTTTTTTATTAATTATCTAAACAATGTTAGATATTACCTTACTGTCATTTTATTTAAGTATTTAATTAATGTGGTTAGAGGTAATATGGTTTTGATTTTAAAAATCTATTTATTTATTTATTTATTTATATACAAGAAGGTACATTGGGTTTGTGAGAATACATAGCATAGTATTTACAATCTTGTAAAGCCACTCGTACGTGCAGCCACTAGTATTTAAACCACTTCCATGTTGGATCCAGTAGCATTGTGGTCTACATTATTGGCTTGGCATTAAGGTTACCGGGTTCAATCTGCATGGCAAGACAGAAGCATTTAGGAAACATTTCCTTTCACCTGATTTGTTCACATAGCAATAGATAGATACCTGGAAGTTAGGCAACTGTTGGGGGTTGCATCCTGGCAATATCAGTAGCTGGTCTAGGGGGGATATTGATAAGCCTAACAGGCTTCCTGTCCCCAGCTAGGGAAAGCGTAAGCTGAACCCTATAATAAATAAAGTATTCATCTAACCAAGTTTGCATGTGAGAGGGGGTCCAATGCCTGGACCTCACCTATTACCAAATAATCAGCTAATTTAGTGCCTTTCTAACCCTGCGGCAAGTATTTGCAAGTCCCACCCCCTACCTCCAGTTTGGAAATGTCACTCCCATTTTTAATATAGTCAGGAGCGCAGCTGAAAAGTACAGACCAATCAGCCTAACCTCACACGTCTGCTGCTCATGGAGAGACTCTTAAGGAAATGAATCATTTACCTTTCACTGTGCACAGTCTAATAAAATCAACACATCATGGTTTTAATAAAAATAAATCTTTCCTTACTGACCTGCTCACATTCTTGGAAATCGTAACCTGCTATTCAGACTAAGGACTTCCACTAGACATAGTATACTTAGTCTTTTCTAAAGCTTTTGATACAATACCACATGTAAGACTGGTAAGGAAATTATAAGCACATGGAATAAATGGTAAAACAGTAGAATAGATAAAACTATGGCTAAAAAAAAAAACAGCAAAGGGTAGTCTTGTAGTCTCTACCAAACAAGCCCTACCAAACAAGCCCTACCAAACAAGCCCTACCAAACAAGCCCTACCAAACAAGCCCTACCAAACAAAGTAAAAGTTGAATCTCTCAAAACTTTTGCTAGTTTCAGTGAGATAGCTTTAGGGAGCTCACTCCCTAAAGCTGAGGAAGTGAGCTGGGGCTCTTTTCTGAGTAAACTGGGGTTCACTCAGAAAGAGGTGTTTCATTTCGTGAAGTGTATTTTTTTAAGCATGTCATTAATAACCACTTGTTTCGTTTTGCAAACAGGTTCTACGACCGTCAAGACAGTATCCGCTCGGGCTATGTGAGTGACCGGGAGAGAGGCTACACCAGTGATAGGGACTCTCGCGGTTACATGAGTGATCGGGAACGCTCGGGCTACATGAGTGATGGAGAGCGTGGCTACATGAGCGATCGGGAAAGAGGCTACATGAGCGATCGGGAAAGAGGTTACGTGAGCGATCGGGAAAGAGGTGGCTACACAAGCACTCGTGAGTTAGGCTACATGAGCGATCGAGAGAGAGGCTACATGAGTGACCGTGAAAGAGGCTACATGAGCGATCGAGAACGCGGCTATATGAATAACCGTGAAAGAGGTTATATGAGTGACCGGGACACTAGAGGATACACTAGTGACCGTGAACGAGGCTATGCCAGTGATCGAGGTGGTTATGGAAGTGACCGCGAACGAGGTTACTCCAGCGATCGGGAACACAGCACATTGGTTGCCCAGGCGTCTATGGAGAGTGCCGATTCCCGCCTCTGCTACCTCACGTCATCAGAGGTAAGTACCAGATTTTACTTATTATAATGCACTCGTAGCAAAATGAATGTTTTAGAAATCACTTATAACCTCAGACGCACAGTATGAATTGTCACTGTGAGGGAAAAATCGACATCAGAAGTAATACAACTAGATTATTTCTTTTAACTGTGGATTGCACTGCATGTGTTTAGTTGTTAAGAAAATATAATAGGGTATTTTTTATGTGAAAGTAGATTCTTCATGGGGATTACTGTGTTTTTGAGATTTGTACTACAGTACTGTATATCTGGATTGATACTCATTGGAAGCTGATGTTTTGTGCAGTTTATACAAGTTAGTGCAAAATGGAAAAATACACAAAACACTACAAGATAATTATGTTGACTACAAGCCATGCTTATCCCAGCTCCTTGTCCTCATATCCCTTCCAAATGCTATATAGTCACATTGGCTTAGTGCTCTCCCCTGATAATTTCCTTCCCTAACATGCCATAAGGCTTGCTTTGTGAAACAAGCATGTTTGAAAAGAATGAAAGTTACCTATGCAGTTTACCTAAATTTACTCGGGATCCACTATCTATCTAGTGGCCTTGACAGGGACAGGAAGCCAATAGTTTGTCAAAACTCCCCATTTTTCCTGATAATTTTTTACAGCAGGATTTTGAACTGCAGTTATGTCTTGGCATTTACTGCCAAGGTAGGAGGTTTTTTACCCATGGGTTTTATATCCCTATGGGTTAGAAAACATCAGAAGTTCTGGGTTCAAATTCTAGGAGACAGAAATGGGTGGGCATGTTTCATATCACCTAATGCCTCTGTTCACCTAGCAGAGTTTGTCGGCTTGTTGTGGGGTTTTCATCCTGGGGAGGGTCAGCAGTATATGTGTGTGTGTGTGTGTAATTACTCAAGGGTACTTACAGGGGGAGAGCTATGCTCATGGTGTCCTCTCTTCCCAACACTCTTTATCATATAATGCTTTGAATCTACTGATGGCTTTGGCCTCCACCACCTTCTCATTTAAATTGTTCCAACTGTCTACCACTCTGCAAACAAAACTTTCAATTTTTTTTTTAGGCACCTTTGTTTCCTTAGCTTGAATCTGTGACCTCTTGTTGTAGACGTTACCGGTTTCAGGAATTCCTCTTTGTCAATTTGGTCAATTCCGGTTATTGTTTTGAAAGTGGTGATCATATCACCTCTTTTTCTTCTATCTTGTGTGTGTGTGTGTGTAATTACCTAAGTGTAATTACCTAAGTGTAGTTACAGGATGAGAGCTACGCTCATGGTGTCCTGTCTTCCCAACATTCTTTGTCATATAACGCTTTGAAACTACCGACGGTCTTGGCCTCCACCACCTTCTCCCCTAACTTGTTCTAACCGTCTACCACTCTGTTTGCGAAAGTGAATTTTCTTATATTTCTTCGGCATGTGTGTGTGTGTTTGTGATTTGGAACTCTGAGGGTCTTCAGTTAACAGTCAAGATTATAATGTATTTGTTATTTGTCGTGTTTTAAACTTTATACTGTATTTAAAAAGTATGAGCAGAGGTAAATTGAGGGCACTTTCTAAGTGATTATCACATTGGGATTGAAGTCCAATAATCCAAAATTTGTATGTACAACATGGGGAGTTTAGCAGCTTATTATATGGTTGAGGTTATTTTCCACAGCATAGCTTATGTATATTCACCATCAGTTTGTCTTTAAACCCCAACTGGCAGACAAATATCTTGAGCAGTTTGGGAGATATACCAACCCATATGACTCGGGCTGTGAGAGTTAAACCAGAACATAGGAGCGACTTGACTCTTTCCATTGTGTTAATCTTTCATTACATACCTCTTTTGAACTTTTGGTTAGAAACTACTCTTTATTTTTTCTGCATTTTCACTCTGTTATTATGGGGTTTTTCACTGAGTGGGAACTTTACTTTTGTTGGGGAATAGACCACTATAAAAAATAATGGTACCACTTCCTGCCCAATCATTATACTCAGAGAAGCATTATTATGTTGTAGTATCGTAGACATACATATTTAAAATGTATGTCTGTGAGAGTCTTATCTGAAAAATATAAATGTTGTGTATCGTTACACATAGAGAACGTTATGTGTATTTAACTATAAATATTAGACAATAGGTACTAAATGTCTAACCCAGTTGGGAGTTCCAATATGTATTGGTTTTAATTTAACTTTGGTTAGCCAGACATGTCGGCATTGGATTGCTGGGATCAAATAGACGAGTACCAGTTGAACTTTACAGTTGCCTTATTTAGTGAGCACATCATTTGCAAAACTATATTCCTGAAAGAATGTTGAGAGTTGTAGAGAATATGACCAAATTAAAATTACAAGAGTAAAATTTAATGAGTAGCAGTCTTAGAAATAAGTATTAACAAAATTAGAATAACATTAAAAGCTCATTTTAAGAGTTTGAGGTCTGATGCAAACGAGCTCAGCAGCCAATCAGAAAAGTTAGAAGTATTTGCAGTTTGATAGATCATTTGTTGGATTAAATGAAAGTTGCATGGTGATGGTTTATCTGTGTTACTGTAATAAAGGTATTTATTGATGACCAAACCACACAGCAGAAAATGAAGAGACAACGACGTTTCGGTCCGTCCTGGACCATTATCAAGTCGATTATTAACCTTCATATCCTAAGCCATGTTATTGTGACTCATCGTCTGCACACATCAGAAGATGGAGAAACGACGACGTTTCGGTCGGTCCTGGACCATTATCAAGTCGTGTGTGTGAAGAAGAAAGGAAGAAACAGGCCAATAAATTATTGACTCGTTCCTTCCTCTCTTCCTCATACACACATGCTTTGATAATGGTCCAGAATGGACCGAAACATCGTCGTTTCTCCATCTTTTGATGTGTACTTTGGTCATCATATCTTCAGCCACATTATTGTGACTCGATCATCATCTCCAGAATGTATTTGTTACTTTGTTCTTTAAATAGTTAAGAGTTTCATCGTACAAAACTGTGTAAGACGTCAATAATGAAGATGTTGGATATTTTGTTTATTAAGTGATGAGCAAGACACAGGCACAATCATTAGTTTATTGCTGAGGTCAAAGTGGCTATAATTTTTTTTACAATAAAAACTCACTATTGTAAATAGAGTTGTCGGAGACAGGAATCCTGTTAGGCTTAATGAGAAAACATGAGAATTAATTTTCAAGTACAGTACAGTATTTTGTAATAATGGTTCTGAGCGTGGGCATCAGTCGCTGCACCTGCATGGTGCAAACTTTTTTTTTACTACAGTAATCTCCAAAAGGGAACCTAAGGCTTTCAGGATTAATGTCTAATATACCAAACTACTACTGCCAGAGGCCTCAAGTGTTGATTGATGTCCATTTAGAATCTTTATAATGTTTGAATATTACAGGGCACATTAAATCTCCAACATGCAATAAGTGCATGTGTAAATTGCTTGAGGGCGACAGGAGCAGTTAGAGGGTTAATGTTAATGTTAATGAAATTAATTTTTTTAATTTGCATAACCCTCATTCTGTTTCTGGTGTTTGGAATCCTGTACTGAGTTGATGTAAATTAATACCAATAATAACTTGCTGAAAAATTCCAGTTACATACAACATGCAATACAAAATATATATACATCATTGTATATGTGTATTGTATTGTGTGCATATATAATTGGTAATTTACAAGCCTCTAAAAAAAAAAAAGTACAAAAAGTGAATATTATCTTAATTGTTGAGAATACATAACATGAATTCAGTACAAGAATATTACAAAGTTGAGATTATATTAAAAATGAATGAAAGTATATATGAACCCCCCCCCGCTCTCCCCCCCTCCCCCCCCCCCAAACAAGCTGACTAACCCGGGTAACTATTTACTGCTAGGTGAACAGAGGCATTAGGTAATAGAAAATATGCTCAACCATTTCAGTCCCACATGGAAATTTTGTAGGAAAGATATTATGGAAGATACAATATAAACTGTTCATGGGTGGGTTTATCATTTTAAAATTGCTGCAATCCTTAACAAACTTAGCATTCCCCACGGCGCACCGGTAAAACACTCGCTCTGTACTTTGGCCTGAATTCGTATCCAGGCCGGGAAGAATTTACTGGGCACCAATCCTTAACTATAGTCCCTGTTCACCCAGCAGTGAACGGGTACCTGGTTGGTAAACGATTTGGCGGGTCGTATTCCGGGGAAAATTTGGAGTAAGGACCTGCCTGAAATGCTCTGTGTACTAGTGGCTTTACAAGAATGTAAGAACTCTTGTATATACTGTATATAAAAATAACAAAAACAAAACAAAACTTAGTTATCTCATGTGTTACAAGTGAAGGTTTTTAGTCATCAACAGTGCAACAATTCCATTCAGAATTTTGCAAGTGTTGACTGTTACAGTAATTTATTTATTTATTTATTTATTTATTTATATATATATATATATACAAGAAGGTACATTGGGTTTGTGAGAATACATTGGATAGTACAGTATTTACATTCTTGTAAAGCCACTAGTACGCACAGCGTTTCGGGCAAGTCCTTAATCTAATAGATAATTTTAAGTAGGTAATTTCAATCAGAATTGATAAATGATAAAGATACATTACAAGAGAAAAATGAGATGAGAGAGATAAGTAGGTATATTAAAGCACATTGTTATATTAAAGCTCTATTAGTTAACATTTGTTTCATAGTAATAGTTAACATTTGTTTCATATGAGCAAGAAGTAAAGGGTGGATACTAGGGCAGGCGTGCAGCTGATTGGCCTGCAACTGACAATTAGGACAAACTGCTGCAACTCCCATTTATTGTAGATGTCTGCAGGAGCGAAGCTGATACACACACACCTAGCAGCACCACACTTGGCCAGTGGCTGTGCCCTTGGCTAATGGTATAGTGCCCTCGGCTAGTATTTGTACCCTTGGCCAGTGTATAGTTACATGATTAGATAGATGGATATAATAATAATAATAATAATAATAATAATAATAATAATATTATTATTATTATTATT